TATACAGGGGTTGTACAGGGGTATAGAGGGTTTTATAGGGTTATATAGGGATAATCGAAAAGAAAATGGAGACTGCCACATGATAATAGGGTCTTATTGGGGTTATATAGGGAACAATGGAACATAACATGCAGTCTAAGGTGGATGATCAAAAGGCACTGGGCGCTGGTGTTCCATCCTCGCCGGAGGGAAGGCTCCAACAGCGCTGCAATGAAATACACTCCGCCAAACTAACGTGGAAATCCATATAGCCCCTTTTGAAAGGAACTGTAGTCTTTGTAGGGCCCTTTTTGGGTTTCCATGTTAGTTTCCGGGAGGGTACAACTTCTGGCACTCGGGCCGTAACGTGTTTGTTCTCAAGGGGGAGTGGCTTCACACCGTACAAACGAGATGGAAAGAGATTATCACTTTATTGCTATTACTATTGTCATTATTATCACTACTATTACTATTACTATTACTATTACTATTACTATTATTATTGTTAGTACTAGTACTATTATTGTTATTATTATTACTATTACTATTATTATTACTATTACTATTATTGCTTTGCATCCGCGTGTTTTGTGTTGAGCTCCAGGCTCGGAACCGCATGCGCTGGACGACTTTCGAGTAGATCCAGATTACTTGCGGCGCAGCGACGGACAGGTGCTCTGGGTACAGAGGCTTTTCAAACAGGCTGATAAACCATTACCCCAATATAACCCTAACATAAACCCATATATATATATACCCCCATATAGCCCCATTATAGTAGTTTCCATTTTCTTTTCCATTCTGCCAACAGAAAAAGAGCTACCAGAGAAGGTTCTCAATTTGAAGTCGAGGAGCTGCTTTGTTTGCTGAACTGTTCATGGGGTCCACGGTTTTTCCTTGGGGTGTATTCTAGTGTTTGAAGATGCCAAGGCTCCAGCGGATTTAAAGCTCACGTCGCCGAGATTGTGTATATTAGAATCGTGTTTTCGGGGTGTGGTGCTTGGCAAAAGGCATTTGATATCTAGGCAAAAGTTGGAAACCTACAGTTGGGGTCGGTTGATTTAGGGCTACGTGCTGGAAAGCCCAAGTGCACGTCAACTCCTGCCAAGTGACCTTTTCTGGGTTGCTGTTAAGGAACTTAAATTAAGTTACTACATTGGGGAAACCCTATTATTTACTATATATACCCATTATGGTAACCCTAAACCCTAAACCCCAAACCCATTATGG